TTTCTTTATGCTAAGGACACTATTTAGTCATGTACGTGAGACAGACAGCTATATAAATTTAATAAATAAATACATACATACATAAATACATAAATACATAAATAAATAAATTTTGTTAGCTGATGTAAGGAGGCTCTGAGCCAGAATGATACTTCTGCTAAGATTCAATAGATGGACTTTAGGAAAGGTACTATGTATGAGCCTCAGTCCCCGTTTGCCACTTTGATGCAATAATATTATCCTAGCCCACAGAGTTTCCTGAGATTGTGCAGATACCATACTGAATCATCGCCTGGACATTGGATCTAGAATTTGTGGCTCAGTCCAGAGTAGAGGTAATATAACTGGCCAGTGAGCAAACTCATTCAGAACTGGCAGCACAGCCTGTTTTAAAGGGAAATGCACTTCCTCTGTGAAAGCAGTTTTTCAAGTCTTGGATGCTTCTGAAGCCAGCATTGCTTATGAAAGATCAATGACAGATGGAGGATGAGTGAATGAGATGGGGAAGGCATAGAAAGAGGGGAGGAATAATCTCTTCATGTCACCCATCCAGGCATTCCCTCAGTCAAACAGCTGTTGGTTTCTGTCCATCACAACTAAGAAATGGAGACCCATTAATTACAATGCTTAGATGTTGGAGTAGAAACAGGCAGACCCAGACTGAGTAGTAGAACCAAGGAGTAGAACCAAGGAGACCCCACAGTACTCACTATGTAACTTTGGGCCCGTCTGTCTCTCTACTGAATTTGCCTCACATGGGTGATCTAGGAATAAACTTATACTAATTTAAATCAAAGTTATGAGAATATACTCAATATGATTTGTCCTGTTATATTGAATAATTTCTCCCTTTAGCATTTTAAAAGCTGTAAGTCAGCAGCTATTTTTGGAGGGACTGTAGGAACTGTATCCAAGACTTTAGAAGGCTACAGATTCTGATCCCCAGCTTTAGTGAAAGATGTGGTATACATGTAACAGTTAATAAATAAACCATGCTTACCTATAATTGAACAATGTACAATTTAAATTGTGGGGACAGTTACAGGCAGAGCTATTTATTCTTCTTTTTCTAACCACGTATTAGTTCTTAAGAAAATGAAAAAGCAGTCCTTAGCTCTTCACAGCACCAGTCAGCTTGTCAAGTGGGTATGTGTGATGAAACGTTAGAGTACAGGGGAAAAGTTTCACAATCTGGGGAATTCATTTGTGGGCCTGTGTGCATATGTGTACACATGCATGAACAGGAAAGAGAGAGAGAGGCCCTTTTCAGATGTTTGCTAGAATGCATGGGGGCTTGAAAATGGGAAATGGATAGCGACATGACCTGGGCTCACCATTACTCTCTCTGATTGCCACACTTTCAGCTCACTCTCAAAGGAGAGTTGAACTTACCTTCACTTGAACAGTCTGATTTATTAACATCCTAGACCATGTAGGCAGCTGTACTTACATTCAAGCAAATATGAGACCACCATGGGGAGGGACTGGATAAGTGCCATTGCCTATCTATTTTGAAGCTTTCACAACTGATGAGGGGTAGAATATATGTGTAAATAGCACAGGCTGTTATATTTATGTTTATGTATTTGTGTATATCTGTGTTTGTAGGTAACATGGCCGCTACTGGCTCAGGACCAACCACTCTTACTGTTGGCCCATCCACCATCAGATAACAGTCCTTGACCCCTTATCAACTGCCACATTCAACCTTCAGGGCAAAAAATGGCTGCCTATCCCTGTTCCAGCTAAATGCTCAGAATGATTAATGCCTCTAAAAGTATCCAACAGATTAGGGCACTTACTCACTGTTTATCTGTACAGGTTTGGGTGACATGATTAATATGGGCCACAAAACTGAATGGATCAGATGCTGGATGGCAGAGTTTTTAGAAATAAAACCTGACTGTGGGATATGATAAATGGATATGTGTGGATGTGTTCACAAGTAAATATAAGAATTACATGTATGCACTGACTGTATTTTATGCATGATGTTATATAAAGAATTCAAAGCTTACATAGATCTTATGCATAAGCTCTCTGATGGTGTTCATTCAAGAATTTTTAAAGATCTCAAATGGAAAATAGATAGAATCGGTAATCAAAGAATAGCTAACTTTGCTGAAGGAAAATCAACAAGCATTCAACAAAGATAAATCCTGCCTTACCAACTTTCTGGGTTTTGAGAATATCAACATACATGATCCTATTAACATTATATATCTAGATTTTCAAGAAGCACTTGACTAAATTCCATATCAAAAGCTCTTGAGTAAACTTAGTAATCATGGGATAAGGGGACTTGTCTTTTTATGGAATGCTAACTGGTTAAAAAAACAAAAAGCAAAGTTAGAAGTATTTTTCTTTTCTTTTCTTTTCTTTTCTTTTCTTTTCTTTTCTTTTCTTTTCTTTTCTTTTCTTTTCTTTTCTACCTCAGCTGCAGTTTTGGAGAATTCAGGGTAACCTGTTTTGGGGGTAAATATGGTAAATAATAATAAAAAAAATAATGGAAAGACATTTTATATAAGCAGTGCCTTAAAAAGAAAGCACTGCAGGCTATAGAATGGCATTGCCAAATTTAAACAGGAAACTATGCTATCAATTTTCACAATGTGCCATGGAGCACCCTGTGACTCTATGGGAGCTATCTGTGGCCTGTGAGTTCACCACCTGTGAGGAGATAAGACTTGGGAAGAAGCTAAATTCAGCGCTCTTTTCTCTTTAGCTTCTTAGTCCTCTTCCCATGTCTCATGCATAGTCTGATCCTTGGTGATAGCTGACATTTACAAGTAATTCTTAAGATATGAGTAGTCAGAAGGAAGATGGAAAATGCTGACACTTGATGGCTGCCTTCATATGATCAAATGTTATCCCTGTCCCTGCAGATATCTCTGTCAAAGTGACACTGAAGCATCAGACCTTGAAACTGAAAAAGAAGCAGACAAAGCGTGCAAAACACAAGATCAACCCAGTATGGAATGAGATGATCATGTTTGAGGTACCCCATGATCTGCTCTGTGCTTCAAGTGTAGAGCTGGAGATGCTAAGCCAGGATGCTGATGGGCAGAATCGCTTACTGGGCAAGTGCAGCCTTGGTCTGCATGCTGCGGGAACCGAGAGGAACCACTGGGAGGAGATGCTGAGGAACCCCAGGAGGCAGATTGCTATGTGGCACCAACTTCACATGTAGTTAAAGAGGTGGAAATGGTGATCCCCTCATGTCCAGTAAGCTGGTCACAGATCTGGAAAAAAGAGTTCTGTTTCAATATCCTAAGCACGCACACACACACACTCACACACACACACACCATGAATTGAATCCATTCACGTGATTAAGCACAAGTTTTGTTTATTGATACTGTTATTAATTGTGTTTTACTAAATGAATATTGTAGAAATGGGTAGTCAAAATGGCAAATGGTTCATTGACCCATAATAATGCTTGGTTTGTGGGATCATTTCTTCAGCTTCTATTTCTGGCCTATGCATAAAGGATTAATTTTATTTTTCACTACTTAATATCTGATTCATGAAATGATCAGAATATAATGAGTCACAGTGTCATTCAAGACTTTAAGAACACAAGCCACAGCTGTATTGGCCCCAGTATTGTCCTTCCAACTGTGGCCAGCTGATAACCTTAGAAAACTAGGAAAAACAATATTATCTACCTTAGCAATTTGTATCCTGTGCAGCCAGCAGATGTCTACCTCTATCTTTTAAAAAAACTGTTATACAGGTACACGTACCATGTCATCTATATATATGACAAAGAAAGAGAGGACAAGTTTTTTCCCCCAAAATCTATTTACAATCTACAGGCAGAGACAAGATAAACAATAGACCCCCCCCCCAAAAAAGGGGGAAATAGAATACGGGCTAAACAGAAGAAAAATATAAATCACAGATAATTAGGATGCAAATTACTGATAAACAAGGTCCAATTAGATGTGACATTAATTGCATTAATTTGGACATTTTGGGTATGCGAATAGCAGGCATGGGGACAATGCTTCAGGCTTTCCTTGGTTGCTGTTGACATAGTTAGAGTAGCCTTGAGAATGGGTAGAATGGTGGGTGGAACTGAATTATTCCTCTTTCTGCCAGAATTCCAACAAAGAATACTTCGAAAGCAGAATTTGCATGTCAATAGAATCTCTCATCAGGGCATTCTGTCTGCCTGAGGCAAGCAGCAAATGGTGTTCCCCTCTCCTAATTAAAGTGTGTAGTTTTCCATTATCATTCCCAATAAAAACCCATTATTCTGGCATCTCTGGCAGAAAATCCCCTTCCCACTTCTTTCCTGACATTCAAAATGCAATCAGATGAATCTAGATTTAAGTCATACTTTTGAGTAATTTAACTAATTTATACCACACTAACTTTAATGGGCCTTCAATAGTAAAGAAATAACTAATGATTTGCTGCCTTTTTACAATGCCAAAATTCAAGTTGCCTAAGGCTGTTGTGTTTAATGATATGTTAACAAATGGAAGACAGGGTCAGAACCATCATTAAGCTAAATTAATTCTAAATGTATTACAGAAAGTGTTTAAATGTTTCATAGGAATGAGGCGTTTTGTGGAGGGATTTGAAGACAGATGAACTCATAAAAGTGTTTCAAAGTGGAGGTCCAAGTAAGAAAGAATTAGCTTTAGAAAACAATGGCCTTTCAATAGCTGAGAGTAAAGAAGTCGGAGAAGTGAAGGTTACAGGTAAGATGTGACAGAATTTGAAAATCTATATGGAAAAGACTGAAAATCTATATGGACAATATTAAAAATCAGGATAAGTATGTGCAGTATTTATAAGCAGATAGGAACATTCTCTTATCTTTTATCTTATCTATGATCCTAAAACCTTCCTCCAGTTAGAATTGGTGTTGACTGTACCGCTTATCCTAACCCTAACCCTAACCCTAACCCTGGAAACTTCCAGGGTGGATTTGAGCTAAAGGAAGATTATGATGAGACAGTCACTAATTAAGAATTATTCATGCTTATGAACATATTAGTACTGGAATACCTGGAGAAACAATTGGAAAAGAAGTATTTGTTGCTTGTTTGAAAGTCACCAAATACTTTAGATCAGACAAAAATCTCTGCAATTTACATTGTTTCCATAGCAGGTTAATTAAAATGAAGAGAAGAGGACCTCCCAGAAATGTCTAATTTTAAAATATAAGCATAGATACACTTTTTAAATATTCTATTGGAAGACCCACCATCATGCTTTTACTATTTTATTGCCCTTTCTGCTTTCATGTGCATGGAATTTAAATATCAGTGAATGCTATCATTCAGGATTAAAACCTACATCTACAGTACATCTCTATTAATATCATTCACTACAGGCAGTGAGGAAGAAAACAAGACTGAAATATACAGGTAGTCCTCAACTTACAACCACAATTGGGACTGGAACTTCCATTGCTAAGTTATGTGGTTATTAAGTGAATCACCCAATTTTACGAGCTTTTTTGCCATGATCGTTAAGCGAATCATATGGTCATTAAGTGAATCCAGCTTCCTCCATTGGCTTTGCTTATCGAAAGCTCCATGGGAAGGTCACAGATGACCCCAGGACACTGCACCTGCTGTAAATACATGCTGGTTGCCAAGCACCCAAATTTTTATCACATGACTGTGGAGATGCTGTGATGGTCGTAAGTGCAAGAACCAGTTGTAAGTCACTTTTTTCAGTGCTGTTGTAACTTCATATGGCTGTTAAATGAATGGTCATAAGTTGAGGACTACCAGTAGTCTCAAACTATTAGATGTAAGGTGTCCAAGGTTGGAAAGAAGACAAGGAATGGCTAGTGTAAGACTTCCTTTGTGTTTTTGTTGTTAAGTCATTCATTTGCCTCTGACACTTCATGACCTAATGGATATTATTTCATCCAGATAATCTGTCAGTAATTGTTTCTTTGAGTTCTTGTAAGCTCATGCTTGTGTCATCAGTAATAATATCTAGCCACCATATCTTCTCTCAGATTCTTTTTGAGTGATTTTTTTCAAGTATTGGGGTCTTTTTTTAATGACTCTTGCTTTCATATTATGTATTCCAAATATTTAAACTTTAGCTTCATTGTTACTGCTTCCATTGAGTAGTCTGCTTTTGCTTCATCAAGCACTGAATGCTTTGTTCTTCTTGTGGGCCAAGATGTTCTCAAGAATTTTGTCCAGCACCATAATTCAGTGACATCAATTCTTTGTTCAGCCTTACTGATGGTCCAGCGCTTACAGCCATATGTTATAACCGGGAAAACCATGGTTTTGACCTTTAAAGGTCTGTAATGTAGTCCTCTTCAATTTGAATTGATGCTATAAAAACTGCACACAACTAAATATCTAGTTTAAATTAAGCACTTGTATGGTAAGAAGGGGGGGGGAGTAGAGAACTCACACTGTTGTAAATAAAGGATGAGGATGAGGATGTTTTAAATAGTTTGGAGAAATCTATTTGTGATTTGTAGCCTAACTTCAGCCTGTGCTCCAATGCAGAGTCAGGTAGTCTCAAACAATATTTTCTTCCCAGTTATGCAGTCAGTTCAGGCAAAGAAAAAGTGGGAAACGCAATCAAGTGGAATAGGAGTGCAAGAGGTAGAAGTAGGGGTCGACGCTCAGAGCAGCCCAAGTGGCCTTGCCCATTTCAGCTTCTTGTCAGTCTCCAAGTTTAGTTTTTTTTCCAGGTTGGGAAACCCAAACTTTGGAAAAGTTTGAAGTGGAGGGCACGGGAGGACCACTGAATCCAAACATCCTATCTCCCTGCCACACCCTAAATGTCAAGGTAAATTAGGCTAACTGCTAAATTAAATTAATGGAGAGGCAACATGGAACCTCCTACCAACAAAACATACACTGTACTGCTGAGCTGTGAAATAGGCAGAACGCTATTCCCATGTTAGGCAAATTCAATTACAATTTCAACTGGGAAACTTGACATTTTAGACCAAGCCAAATTCAAAATTCCTAAGGAATTCCTGGAAGCTAGATATGTTGACAAATCAGCCATCTGCAGAGACATAGACATAAGCCTCATCTGCATACCATTTAAAAGATACAGTCAAAAGTCAAGGGAGGAAGCAAACTGCCTTGAGCACATTCTCACTAGTAGCTAATGCCCAGATAAACAGCAGCAACACCAGATAAACCATCAGGGAAGAAACAATACCCTAATCAAGGAAGAAACCAAATCCTAGCCAAGACTGATATATAGATATATAAACAACCAGCAAATGATGTTACCTAGCCTGGTAATGAAATGTCTGCAGGAAAACAATCAAGCTCAGAGAATACCAAGAACCCAACAGAATGAATAGTGGTATAGTACAGCTCAAAAAAGTAACCACAGTTCCAAAACTCCAACACAAAATCCCACACAGTTGCAGGACAGCCTACAGGATAAATGACACTAATGAGAATTAAAGCCATAAGTCAAATACAGGAATGATTAGAGAACCTTAGATTACATTTTATTGTAGTTCTTCAGTTCCTAAATAAATAGAAGCTAGTATATATCACTTGTTTGGGGGGCGGGAGTGATGGATGAATATCTAAAATCTGCCAAATGATTGAGTCATTTTTTATCCCAGGGATTTAAAGTGCACCCAAAGGACACCCAGTTTTGCTTTGAGTTAAATTAACTCTCCCTGGTCTGTCACATCATCTGAACTGCTGCTTGAAAGTTTCAATGACCCTTGTCTCTCCAAAGATTGAAATAACATACTAGAGAGAACCTATGGAAATGTGGATGCTATAGGAACATTGTCATTGTTCTATCCCCACCACCATCACCATAGTTACATGGGGTGAAGATAAGGCAGATACAGATTGGATGGTTCAGGTTCTCCTAAATCTGTCTGTGA